GTTATAGTCAAGGGGCCCCCGCAGCGGCGACCCTGGGAACGGAAGTTGCTGGTGCGCACTCTCTGGGTCGTGAGGTCCCGCCTCTCAATCCTCCCCGGGGTTCTGCAGTGAGGACCCTCTGCCTCAGAGCCTAGGACGCCGGCTGTGCGACCCCGCCCCTCTGATCACGCGCAGCCTCAGTTTCCCCAGGGCCTCAGTTTCCCCGTTGCCTCTGACACCAGCAATTCCTGTGCAATTCTGCGGAGTGCAGAAGCCTAGGGGACCTGAGCTCGAGGGGGCGGTCTCATCTGTCTGTCTGTCTGTCTGGGGTGGAAGGCAGGTTAAGCCCCGACGGCAGTCTGACGGCACCAGGCAGGAGTTACAGCACTCACCGTGGACAGGGGTTCGGGGACCACAGGGTCTGGGGTCCCTGCTGGCGTCGCTGTCGCACTGGCTGGGGACACCGAGGCACCGCGACCGCTAGCAGCAGCGCGCGCTGGAGACTGAGCACTGCAGAGCGGGCGCGGCGGGCGGGGGGCGCGGGCGGGCGGAGGCGGGGCCTGGCCTCGTTTGCTGGTCAGAGGTTCCAGCCCTGCCCGCCCCTACTCTGCGTTTCTGGGGTCGGCAGCGGGGGTCCTTGCCCGCCCAGTGCCGGCCAGAGAGAGACCCTGTTCTGGGTTTGGGGCTCAGTAACCCACAGGTGGGCGCCAGCAGCGGAGCTGCGTTGGATCTCGCTGGGATATGTCCCCCTTTCCCCCCACCCTCGGCCACAAGGGAGGAGGCTGTCGCGGGGTCTCCTTCCCAGGCCTGCAGGGAAGCTACAGTCGCCCAAGGAAAACACGAAGTGCCTCCGTTTCTTGAGGTGCTCTACGGCCATATCCAAAGTCTGTGCTTTTCAGTTACTGTCTGGAGCTGCTCTTTTCCAGGGAAGTCAGTTCAGGCTTTAACCTGGGACATCTCATGACGTCACTGTTAGCTGTGAATGGGCGCAGATTAAGGCACAGTAGCTGGACCCTGCTGTTCCCAGCCCACTTCTCCCCTAGGCCCCCTCCTCACTTCTCCATCATTTGAGCGGAGTGAGGGTCCCCTGCAGGCTTGTTAAACCACTTGCCTTCCCCAAATGTGCTAGCTCTGAAGCAGGGGCACAGGGCGTCCCTGACAGGGCCCTCCTGTAGCGGGTTCTGCATGGAGAGCTGCCCAGTTGTTCTTGGCTGTTCCAGCGCTCAGTAGGCCCCAACACTGTCAGAACCAGCACTGACTTTAATGGGATACCGCTGGCCTCACTGCTTCTGGGTACTCCCATTTTGGAGTTTATCTCAAAGCAGTCTGTCTGCCTCTGTCTCTCCCTGTTTTTGTTTTGTTTTTGAGACAGGTATTTTTTTCTGTGTAGCCCTGACTGTCCTGGAACTCACATTGTAGACCAGGCTGGCCTCAAACTCAGAAGCTGGGATTAAAGGCATGTGCCACCATCTCTCCACTTCAAGGTCTCATTCTTAGGGGAAGGACTCTAACCAGTGTGAGAACCAGGAATTCAGGCTTGAAAATCCTCCACCTCAGACTGTAGCAAAGACCATCTCCTCTGCCGAGACAGAGCTGGAATAGGCTTTCCAAAGAGTGCTGGGCAGGGGCCCCGGTTCCTCATTACTGGGAACCGGGCAGGAAACATCTGGGAGACGACGGCCTGGTCCTTCATCCCAGGGAGCATACACGTGAGGTAGATGTTGCCACCAGTCTGTGTCCCAGTTCACATCTATGTCAAGCCCGACACCCATCACTGTGAAGACGGAGCAGAATATTGTCCTGAGAATGCTCAGTTCCCACAGAAAACCTCCACCTTGGCACAGTCAGGCCAGGCAAAAGAAATGAAAGAAGAGCACACTGTCAGAATGAGGCTGTCAGATGAGCAGGGGAGGGGGCCTGAACTCTATGCCCCACACTGTCCCCCTACAGGGGGTAGAAATTGGAGTGGAACAGCTGACCCCCCTCCCACCCCCAGGGTCTAGAGTTGATATGCCCACTAGTATAATCTTGCGTCAGGTTTTGCCAACCTGTTGGAACAAACGCAGTCTGGTTGCCATGGTGATGGTAATGGCTTTGGGGTAAAAGGATGAGCTAGAGCCTGCTGTAAACAGGAAGTGGGGGGGCGGCCCCACTGCAGGGGCTCTGGCCTCTGAGATTGGGTTGGGTGAGATTTGCTCCTGCCTTTGATAGGTAACTGAGATCCAAACATGGAAAAGAGGCTTTGAGTCACATAGCAACAGACTGGGTCCCAAACCCAGCCCCGAGTCTAGTTTTCCCTGCACTCTTCTCTCCACAGACCTTCAGTGTTCCTGCGTTTGTGTGTGCATGCATGCGTGCGTTCGTGTGTGCCTGTGTGTGTGTGTGTGTGTGTGTGTGTCTGAATGAATGACAACCCATTGGTGACTCGTACTGTCATCTTTTTGACTCATTCCAAGGCTAGCAAGGGTCAAAGCTGCAGTGTGCTCACTTGTGCACATTCCTCCTTTGCTCAGAGCCATGGTTGCCCTCATCTGTAACAGGGGATCACAACTGACCCTAGAGACCGCAGGCCAGCCCAGCCTGCGCCTGGAGCCATGCTCCGCCTACCACAGGGAAAGGCAGGCTGGCTAGTGAAGGCGCACAGGGTCAGCCACCAGGGGCTTTGGTTACAGTTTCACCTTCCCTGAGGCCAAGCACCCCAACGCCTGCCAGAACCCATCCACCAGCTGAAGAGAAGGGGCCTTAGCGGCATGTGTGGCTCAGGATAGCCTTCTGCCTGAGGAGCTGGTCGGTCCTTGAACTGCAGTTCACACTAAGCACTTTGTGACCTTCCTGCAGCCACTATCCAGGCACCTGGAGCCAGTTCAGGTCTGGGTGCTACTGCAAATAAGGTATTTTTGTTTGTTTGCTTTTTTTTTTTCTTGTTGTTGTTTTTTAAACCAAATCCCCCCAAACCAACCAAGTTTTCATGCAGCTCGGGTTGGCCTCAAATCTCAACTTGCTAGGTGGCCATGGTTACTTTGGATTTTCTGATTTTTCTGCCTCCACTTCCTAAGCGCTGGAATTACGGGCATGGGTACTGATCCCACGGCTTTGTGCGTGCTAGGTAAGCATTCTACCAAGAGCTACATCATTACCCAAAGGTTGACCAATATGCCAGTCTTTGTTGTTTATGTGTTGGGCACTACTAGGGGATGAACCTAGCATGTGAGGCATGCTAGACCAGCATTCTACCACCAAGAAACAACCCCCGTTTCACATGTTTTTTGGGGAACACAAGCTTTTGGCACCCGTCCTTATCATCAGTGAGGGGTAGTGCGCTAGGGTCCATTTTCCATCACGGCCATTGCTATGGTCAACAGCCTGAGCGGAGACAAAGGACACACACTCAAGAGACAGCTGAAGATGCCCTGTACAACTGGTTTGTATGTGCTCGTCACTCTCTGCAGAACCGGGCTTGGAGGCACCCTCTTCCTCTTCTCAGCTCTGGGTCCAGCCCCTTCCAGAGATAGGAGCCCCTGGAGGGGTGAGAACATTCTTTTAAGAGGGTGTCCTGGGCCGAGGACCCAGATGCTCGGGCCTGGGCAGTCAGGGGTCTGGATGGACAAGCCCAGACAGATCTATTTCTCCTACATTTTTGTGTCATTTGCCTCCTTTCTCCCAAGAGCTCAGGTATGGCCTCCAGGCCAGATCAGGGATACATGATGGCCCCAAGTGAAGACCCCCACCAGGCCCAATGTCTCCTCAGAGGCACTGACAGTATCTGAAGGCTTGGAACAGTCTCAAGAGCTACTGAATGGCGCCATCCCCAACTCAGTGTCAGGGTCAGGTGGGACAGGTACCCAAGCCCAACATTTCTTGAGCCCTCCCTGCTAAAATTGGTTCAAATCAGTACTGGGCCCCGACAACCTCAAAATGGTATAGTAGATCAGGTGCCATTGGGTTGTTTGCTGGCTTGCCCAATTTATCCTCGGGTTTCCTCCATGGTCTGTGGAGAGATGGTCATAGATGGCCAGATGTTCCAAAAAGCTCCAAACCATCGTTGCAGCAAGGCTGTGCTGGATACTTTTATGTCAACCTAACAGAAGCTAAAGTCAATTGAAGAGAGGGAACCTCAATTAAGAAAATGCCTCAGTAAGACTGGGCTGCAGGCAACCATGTAGGGCATTTTCATATTCAGTGATTGATAGGTAAGGGCCCAGCCCATTGTGACTGGGGCTGCCCCAGTCCTGGGTTCTATAAGAAAACAGGCTGAGGAGGCCACAGGGAGCGAGTCAGTAAACAGCCCTCCTCCACAGCCTCTGCATCAAATCCTGCCTCCAGGCCTGCCCTGCTTGAATTCCTTTGATGAACAGTGATACAGAAGTGTAAACCAAATAAACCCTTTCCTCCCTAATCTGCTTTTTGGTCATGGTGTTAGGCCATCATGTGTTCATGGACAGAGCACAGGCCCAGGGCCCAGGGAGCTGCTTGGGAATCAGTTTTTTGCACCATGAAATTACCTGATAGCATGGTCAGTTCTTAACGCCAGCATTCCTGGAGCCATGTCAAAAACTTATTTTTAAAATTGTATTTTAAAAATGAAAAAACAAAAACAAAAACAAAAACTGTGTGTGTCTATTTGTCAGTGTGTGTGCCTGTGAAAATCAAGAGAGGGCCACTGACTGGATCCTTCGGAGCTTGAGTCACAGGCAGTTCTAGAATGGCCTGACATGGGTGCTGGGAACCAAACTCCCATTTCTCTGCTCAGATCACCGAGCCATCTCTCCAGGCACAGACCCCACCCTTATCAGACCCTCCCCCAACAAGGAACATTCACTTTGATGCCTGTTAGTAAAACTCCCCCTACCCAGGGACCAGGTTCCCAAGAAGACCATACTTTATCAGGCTTGGGGGATACTAGCAAGATATGGACACTAAGGGTGTGATAACAGCTGCAGATGGATAACGGGTATCGGAGAACCCCACGGGGACTGGGAGAGAGGAGGCAAGAAAGGAGGCAAAGGACACAACCTGAGGGCTGCAGTTTGTGGAAATGTTTTAATTAGAGGATTTGTAGATACAGTGGTTAATCTGTTGCCCACAATTCCTTACCAATGAGGCCTCATGCTGGGATACCCTCTTCCCCACCATCTTAACACAGGATGGTCACAGACCGTGTTCTCATGTTACAAGATTCACATCTCTCGTAATCCAAGGACTGTGGTACAAAAGGAACATTTCATAGCTGGAGTCACTACAGTTTGCTAGAAACATCAGTTACTTTAGAATACTTTAACTATAAAATATATTGAATTTCCATATATTAACCATATACATGTGTACCTATTACTAAATGTAGTCAGTTGTTACAAAATAAGACATTCTGAGAGCAGGCTACACACACACACCAGCCTGAACTCCCCAGGTCAGGCCCTGTGCCACCAACTGCAAGTATCCATCCAAACTCAGCTCCGGACTGTTCTCATGGCTAAACATACCCACAAGGCACTGGCAGCCCTGTCCATCCTGGTGCCACCAGCTGTGGGAACACAAGTCCCTCCAATTTCAGAATGAAGACTCCTGGCTGTAGACCTGGGCGTAGGCCCAGCCCTCCCTTGCTTGGTCCCTGAACTTGAGCCACTGGTGATTGGCTCCCATGTCAAGGGTCTTCCAGGGGGTCTCAGGAACAAGTCATAAGGAGACTGTGATCAATGGCTATGTCCACGGCACCTCCCTGTGCTCTGTCAGCCACAAGATCACAGATCCAGCCTGGCCCAGGCGTGGGCTAGAGGCCACTGCAGATAGCAGCTTTACCCCAGACCAGCTCCAGGAAGCAGAGCATGTGGACAGTGGTACCTGAGGTCATCCTGTGCCGAGGCCACACCCAGGCTGGTCCCCTGGGCCGGAGGGTAGGGTTGAATGCAGGCCAGGAGGTGCAGGAGCTGTGTGCTCAGGTGCTCTAGAGGAAGGACCTGCTGTGTGCCAGGGCCAGTGGCAGGGTTGCCTCCTCCAGGGTGCAAGGGTAGGACATCAAAAGGCCTGAAGCCAGCTACCAGGGCTCAGTGAGGCCCACAGTACAGCTAGCAGACAGGGAGATCAATGCAGGCCACTGTGTCCTTGGCCCTCACTCTGCCTCAGCCTTGGTCTTGATCAGCCAGTTTTTCACCCTGCTGGGTTTAAGAAGGCTGGATTCAGATTCCGACTTCAACAGTCTCACGGTGCCTGGTACCTTACGGCCCAAAGACCCAGGTGGGGAGAACAGAACACACCTCTGTACACAGTTCTATTTACAAAGAACCGGATGAAGATGGAGCTGCATGGGGTCTGGGCACATCCCTAGCAGAAGCCGTGAAAACTCCTAGGTGCTGTTCCTTGGGCTCAGCCTTGGTACCTGGCAAGGTCTGCAGCCATATGAGGAGGCCCAGACATACTGAGGCACCTCCTCACATTTTAATGATGATAATGCAACAAAAACCTTTATATAAACAGTTTATTTACTCTAAACAGCAACACAGACAAAACGCCATATAAACACAAAGGAAGTGGTGCAGAATGGAGATGCTGGCCAACTTTGGATCTGAGGCTCATAAGCAACAGCCCAGGTTTCTGAGAAGACGAGGGTGGGAGGGAGGGACAGTGTGGTTCTGTCATACAGTCAGCTGGAGGCCAGAGCTCTGAACAGTGGGAAGCATGCCTGCATCCGAGCGCGAAGAAACTAGCTCCTAGGGGCTTACCAAGTACAAAAGTTTATCATTTTACAGCAGTTGAAATACTGACATCAATATTAAAATAAAAGCAAGTTTTACATAACAATCAAAAATACAAAAGACTGAAGGAAGAGACCCTGTATGAAAAACTGGGGCAATTCAGCGAATTGAGACTGTATATGCCAGTGACGGAAATGGAAAATGGCGCCCGCTCAACCCTCCCAGGCGACTAGTAACTGTACGGAGCGACTTAGATCTGCAAAAGGTTGTAAACAAGTTCTTGCCAAGCCAGTCCCTTCCTCGTCATGGAGCCACAGGGCCGCTGCTTATGAGGGGGCAAACTTCTTCGCTTGTGCTCGAACCCTTTTCTCATATTCCACTCTGTTTTGGCTGAGGAGGTCAAGAGAGAAAAGAGTTAGATAGGGCAGTGACATGGCCTGCTGAGATGTCTGCTCAAGGGGCAGGGGCAGCAACCTCCACTGAGAGGTTCTCTGTCCATGCCAACCTCTCAGGGACAGAACACAGACTACCACAGAGAAGAGAGAATGGCCTTGGCCTTCTGCATTGTCACTACCTGTTCTGTGTCCAGCCTTTTGCTGGGAGTTAGGATGTTGTTTGTTGCTGAAGCGAGAGTGCAGTTTCCTGGCTCCACTACTAGGAAAGAGCTCAACAGTGAATGCATATATCACAGCCTGGACATCTTGGCTAGTGATCTTCCTGATCCAGTCTGCCAATACAGCTGGGAACACAAGTGCGCACCTCCATGTAGCAAGCTCAGCAAGCCAAGCTGTAATCAGCTGTTGAGACAGTGCTATCTATCAACTGGAAACAGCCCACTGGAACCAGGTTTTGCTCAGTTCTGAAAATAAGTAAGAGCATCTGCGGGCTTTCAGTATGAAGCCATGAACCCACTGTTGAGACTTCAGACCTGGGCTGGCTTGCACTATGTATGTGAACAGAAAATGGATGTAAGGAAACGTGACCTTCAGGACCATGGGAACAAGACATTCACAGGCTGAGCTTTGTAGCTGTCTTTGGGGGTCTCACTGAACAGCCCTGGCATAGTATGAACTGCAAGATTCAGTGAACTCACCAACTGTCCCTAGAGCAAGCCTAAGACCCAGCTGTCAGCTTCAGGGTTTACAGACAGAGTGGTCAAGGTATAAATGACAGGTTCTTGTGCCAAGGTCATCCCAGAAAGGCCTAGTACGAGAAAACTGGAAGGACATAATACTTAAAAGCATATGCTAGTCCCAGGAGGGGCTGCTATTACCATGGAAAAGCAGCCTAGTTCTCACCCAGGAGTACTGCTATTCACTAAGCAAGGACATGACAGCAAGGCACCAGCCACTCAGGAAGAAGGGACAAGAAGCTTCTCTCTATATATAGTGAAAATAAGCACAGGAAGCAAGCCAGTGAAAGATCTGGATGCTGCAGGAGAGAGAAACCCCACCGTAAGAACTGCAGCAAGTGCTGGCAGGCACAGAGCCCATGTTAGTAGCTAGGTGTGAACCAAACTCTCAGGCCAACTGAGCGCTGCATTTAAGCCGGAGCGCATTGCTATACACCAGCAGTTAAGAGGTTCCATGGCTCTGGCAGGAACATATACCTGCTTCACAAGCTGCACACTCCCTGAGCAGACAGCTCCGCCAGGAGGCACGCAGGCTGGCAACAGCAGCCAGCACAACAGCAGCAACACTGGTGGAACCTGCCACATCACCTTATATACGGGTCGGGTCTAGAGGAGCCCGGGGTACAGGTGGTCAACAGGAGCAGAGCAGGCAATGATCCAATGGGAATGAGCTACATTCCCAAGGCTCCAGGGACAGACTCTAGACAGGCCTGCCGTGGCCACTAGAGAGGGCAGCACACAAGCACCAAAGCTGGGCATTCACCCAACTTTGTCTCCCTCCCTGAAGACACAGTACATACCCACCCCTTCCTCTCATGCCTAATTCTTGGGAAGAGCAGACCCAGGTGACAAACTCCTCAGGGGAAACAGGCTAACACAGAGGCGCCTTGGACACAGCTCAGAGGACCTTTGCTCACTCCCACTGGGTGAGTAGAAGGTTGGTGTGGAGACACAGGGAGAACAGTGGAGTCAAAGTCCTTGCAATGAAACTAATCTTAGGAATTCCAGCCAGACTAACTTCAGTCCTTGCCTAGCACAGCAGAATCCTCGCACACAGTAAGGATGAAGCACACATAAGATTAAATCTGGTTTATCAGTTCTTGTTCTGGTGTCATTCTAATTCAGAGGTAGAGAACTGTGTGTGACTTCCCTTGAAGAGTGTGTATTTGTGTTCAGGACAGCACAGAACTTCTATTTTGAGTTTTTTCCTTGCTGCCTGTAGCACTGGTTCAACTGTCATTCAAATTCTAACAGACTATGGGATGTCAGCCTCCCCCAGTAGATGCAAAAAGAGTCAGAGCACTTTACTAGCAAGGCTGTATTATGACGCAACAGGCCACAGCTTTTTATACACCCTCACTACAAAGTGTCTACCAGCGCCCACACCAGCTGTTCTATACCTGCTATCTTACTGTACATCACGCTCTGTTTCTTTGTTCTTGCTCAGGGTCTGTGGCTGATAGGTCAGACATACAGTTTCCTTGATGGCTCTCTGACCACAGCCCATAGTCACCTGTGTGGGGTGCTGCCACCCACTGGGAGTTTGTGGCTCTTCCTCAGGGCCTCCCTCCCAGCTACCATACCCCAGAGTTCCTATCTGACAGGTAGCCAGTCTGTACTTCCAAGGAAGGAGGGTTAGCCAGCAGTTGCTACTAACCAGTAAATTGTGTAGGCCTCTGCTTGAGCTGGGTCTTGAATATTTGGTTCATTTAGAAGTTCTTGTATTCCTAATAAGATCTGCAGGAGAAACAAAAACAATCAGCTAACACTGATGGGGCTTGGAGATCTGAAAAGTGGTCGTGGCTACTATGGACACCATAAACCCATGGTAGCATGGCTAGCTGCTACTCCGTACCTGTTTGATCGTGATAGCTGGCCTCCAGTCCTTGTCTTCCTCCAGGATAGACAGGCACACTGTGCCAGAAGGATACACGTTTGGATGAAACAGTGGTGGCTCAAATTTACCTGGAGGACAGGGAGAGAAAGGAATACTTTTGGAGGCAGATGCTGCTCTCCTACCTCATGCTGCTCTTTCCTAACACCAGGGCACCTTAAAAGAAACAAATTCACAAACTCAATTGCAGAGGAGCCAGAAAGATAAGAACACACCTTTCCCTCCTGAGGAGCTAAGCCGTGATTCAGGAGACAACTCTGCCTTGAGGAACCAGGAGCAGCCAAAGGAGACCATGGCCAGTTGGGCCTATGACCTTCTTCCATGCCCAAAGTAAGAGGCGACAAAGTTTTAAAGTTAGAGGGAACAGGCCAGTATAAGACTTTCTCAGTGTGTGGACCACTTCCAACATTGCATCAAGCACACATTTTCTTTTTTTTTTCCCTTTTTGGTTTTTCTAGACAGAGTTTCTCTGTGTAACCTTGGCTGTCCTGGACTCACTCTGTAGACCATGCTGGTCTTGAACTCACAGCATCCCACCTGCCTCTGCTTCTCTAAGTGCTAGGATTACAGCATATGGCACCATGCCCAGCTTAAAAGTTTTTTAAAATTTATTTATCATGTATACAATACTGTATCTGCATTTACACCTGCAGGCCAGAAGAGGGCACCAGGTCTCATTATAGATGATTGTGAGCCACCATGTGGTTGCTGGAAATTGAACTCAGGACCTCTGGAAGAGCAGCCAGTGCTCTTAACCTCTGAGCCATCTCTCCAGCCACACATTTCTTTACAATAGCAGAAAAATCTATCATGATCAGCCCCACTCAGGTACTGTTCCACAGCTGATACTTTAGGGTATGCCTCACTTTGACCTAGGCAAACTTCTTTCTGTGAAAGTACAAGTCTAAAGGCAGCCTGGTTTTTCAGGATCTGAAGGGGGCTGGAGATGCAGCTCTGTGGTAGTGCACTTCCCTGGTGTACATAGGGCTCTGGACCAAGTTCTTAATACTGCAAACAAATGGGCTGGGCAGCAGTGGTGGCACACACCTATGCCAGCTACCCCATAGGCTAGGCAGGAAGTGAGTTGAAGGCCAGCATAGGCATCTTAGTGAAATCTTGTTTAAAAAAAAAAAGGAGGGGGAGGGGAGTGATGGGTGGTTGCAGAAATGCTTAGAGGCTAAAAACACTAACTGTGCTTCCAAAGGATCTGGGTTCAAGTCCCAGGACTCCTATGAAGAAAGATGAGACAAGAACGAAAACCAACATTAATGTCAAAAGCGCACAGAAAACTCCCTAAGTGTTCTGCAGTCTCTGTCCAGACAGAGTAGCTGTGGTTACTGCATGCCACTCCAAGCAAAGCTGTGAGAAAGGACTCGAATATGACCTGGGCCACAAGAACACCAATATACACATAGAGAGGGTCTTGGGGTTTCATGTCCCAAACTAACCCACAGGTTCTCCAGCTCAACTGTCTCATAATCGGGCCAGGCCTCCAGGATCCAAGTTCCCACCTCCACAGAGGCACTTCTGGCAGCCTCCTTAAATTATAAAAAACAAACAAACCAAAAAACAAGAAAACCACCAAGGGGTGATGGCACACACCTCTGATATCAGCACCTGGTAGGCAGAGGCAGGCAGATATCTTTAAGTTTGAGGGTGGTTTGGTCTGCAGAGTGAGTTCCAGGATGGAACTCCCAGAGAAACCCTGTCTCACTCCCTTCAAATAATTTTTTTTTTCTTTGTTTTTATATACATGTGTATTTTGCCTGCACATATTTGTGGAGCATGTGTGTGCAAAGTCCATGGAAACCAAAAGAGGGTGTCAAATCCCTTAGGACAGATGCCATGGGATGCATGAACCCAACCTTGGTCTCTAGAAGAGCAGCTAGTTTTCTAAACCAGAGCTAACACTTCAGTTTCTGGCAGCTGCTTTAAAGCTCAGCTAACCTCGTCTCTTACTGATCAGAGAAGTGCAGTGTGTTCGCAACATTAAGTCTTCTCCAGCAAGCATCTTTCCCAATCCTGGGCTTATCTTTTTGCTCTTTTAATTGCACCTTTCAGCAAACACAAGTTTACTCTTATTTGCCAACCATGTTTTTCTTCTACCAATGATAACCTGCATGTGAATCTCAGCAGGTCCCTGCTAGCCCACTCTGCTTTTAGCTTTACTCATCAATGGCAATGCCCTGAGCCGCACAGACCAAACATTGAGGAGTCCACCATTTTGCTGTCTAGTGATTTATATGCTACATCCTGCTTTCTTTTTTTTCTCCATTATTTCTCATGCTGCTAATAATATACACCTGCACCATCTCTGCCTTCTGGTTCTCACCACGAGGCTTCCACGGCACACCTGCCTTGCCTTTGTGAATGTGTGCAGGCTTTTCTACTGGCTAGTTCTACAGAATAGTGGCAGGTCAACTTTAGTGGTGTCAGCAAAGATCTTCCAGAGAAATAGCCTTCATACTCACAACAAGTGCCCATGAGCTCCTAGTGTCCAAGTCTTGGCAGCATCAGCCTTTTTTGTTTTGTTTTTGGGGCAGGGTTTCTCTGTGTAGCCCTGTTTGTCCTCGAACTCGGACATCTGCCTGCCTCTGCCTCCCTGAGTGATGGCATCATAGATGCGTGCCACTGCTCTCTGCCAGCATTCCTTTCTTTTTTTTTTTTTAAAATGAAGGGTTTACTCTATTTCACGGTTACCTGCCTACCTCCTTTTTGGTAACCTAGAAGAGCCTGAGAAATGGTGAGGTGTACTCTGCTCCAGCTAGTGTCTTTCTCACTAGCTGGTGTCTTCTAAGACTGTCAAATAGCCATTCCCTGTGGCCAGCACCTATTGTACTTCCGTGGTGAAGAATACCCTCCACCCCAGGAGCAGAGCCCACTCCAAAGCTGCCCTGTCCATTCACTTGGCTAAGTTGAACCTCCAGCCTGTGGCAAAGGAGAGTGCCCTCAGACTCACTAGCAACCCCTAGGAGTTTCAACCCATATCCAGCTGTGGTTGAGTATGGCCTTTGTTGGATTGTCCACTCTGCTTCAGGGTCTGCTTGTCTGTCTTAGCACCAATCCCACAACATCTAACCACGCCTTGGTAATTGGTTGGTGACAATGTTCTACCCAGCCAACGGTTCTAGGCACTCTCTTTACACTGGTCTCCAGGGCCCTGGAACTCCAAGGGACTGACAGCCCTGCCCTTTGCACCTCCACATACACTTTAGTGCCTGCTTGACTGACTGGGACACCCTGTGCCACGTGCACACCAGCTAGTAGAACAGCCATCTTCCCACATAACTGCCGAGGCTATCCTGGGCTTCTCAGAAATGCCCATGGTTTCGAGCATATAAGACTTCTCTTCCAGTGTATTTGGTGCTACTGTGAATACTTAGTTTTCAAATTTCCACATGCTACAATCCATTTCTTCATGTTCACTTTTCCCCTCATAAGCGGCTGCATCTTGGTTTTCCTTGCTGGTTTTGAGACTTCTTGCCTCATTATATTTGCTTAGGATTCCAGCACCACATGAAAGCAACAAGCAACCGTATCGGTCTCAATTTTAGATACCTACTCCTTAATTAAAAGAAAGTACTAATAACAGTATGGCAAAAAGAACTCAAGACAAGGTGACCACAAACAAGTAAGACGCCACCCAGTGGTTTCCAATAAGATATGGGTAAGCACTCCTGGCGGGGCCACTGCAGTGGGCAACATCTCTATTTACAAACCAGCTGTAAAAGCTCAGACCTGGTCTTCCCTGGGTAGAGGGTCGTGATGGCAAGTAAGTTCTGCTGAGCTGCACTGAGATCACAGTCCATTCTTCTCTTTTGACCCATAGGCCTGAAGGCACATCCCTCAGGCTGCACACACAGCCTCTCACTGGGATGCTGAGCATAAATGGGAACAAACAGAACCCAGCCGACTAGAATAAGTGAAACGTCTTCTCTGTCATTTAGTGCTTTGAATTGAGCTCAGGGGCTGATACAGGCCAACCACTCAGCTAACCTGAGAGGAGCTCCTATACTTCAGTAGCACCTGTGGGCACAAAAGCCTGACACTCACAACTCTCCCTATGCCGCGTGTGGCACCTGACTGGCTGGGATTAGAGACCACACTAATTACAAGTGCCTCTACCCTGACTTGTGATCCAAGCTAAGCCACCAGAACTGCCTTTATCCCAGGACTGCCACCTGCCTGCCGGGCAGAACATCCACATGCATGGCTCCTGATGACAGGCCGTGGGAAACAGACTGCAGGCTTTCTGCAGAACTTACATTTTGGTGGTGAGGATGGATAGTCATCTTTGAAAAGCATCCGTAGCTTGAACAAGCCTCCTTCCCATGGTGTCTGTGGGAAGGGAACTAAGGTTAGGTGTGTGGCTTACTTCCCAAGTAAGCCCAGGATACGCTTCCCCAAACCTGCGTCCTCTGGGCCTGTTCTCTAACTGCCCCACACTACTACTGTCCCCTTAGGACTGAAGAAGACTCCCACTGTGCCTCTGGGAAGCTAGACAAGAGCCCTCATCAGACAAAATGGAGGAAGACGCTGGCTTGAACACAAGGAGGGGAGCTTGCCAGATGCTGGAGGGCTCAGGACCCATAGTTCTTGGGTGTCTGAGAACACTAACAAGCTCAGCAAACACAGCTGGGACCAACAGCTTGTACCTGTGTTATTCAAGCCAGTACCTTGGATCCTACCAAGGTAGGGATAGGGCACTACTCAACCCATCCATCTTTCCAACCCTACCCCATGTGATGGAAACACTATGGTGCAACTGCCCCATCGTGTATTGAGAGACAAGAATACCCTTTGCACACGTCAGGGATCCACTCCACACTCTGCAATACAGCTGTCTTCAGATGAACCCAAACTGCATTTCTGCTCAGATACTAAGTTGAACCTGGAGACCCAGTTTGGACAAGACCTGAAGCCATAGGAGACCCTCCGTCTCACATGCTTTACATGTGCTGGGCAAGGACAGACAACTGGCAGCACTGAGGTCAATGTGCAGCAAGAATAGCCTGTGCTCTCCAGGGGCACCTTGCCATTGGGGCTCACCACGTTATAGCAACCTTCACCTGCTCCTCACCCCAGGGCTGTTCACTGATCCAATGATTTGCCAGGGTCCAAGCCTCCCTACCACTACAGCCCACTCCTTGTCCTGGTGAAGGCTGTGATCTGGTAGGCTATCTATGGCCAGAGGTCATAGTATCTGAACTCAAGTGCCTTCTAGTAGCTTTACTCCCTCAAATCTCATTAAAACCAGTTAGTAGGTGCAAAGCCAATGGCAGCCCTTACCCCCTTCTTTCCAGGGATAGCGCACTCCCAATTCATCAGATTCATCGTGCCATCAGGGTTCTTTGTTGGGACAGCCACAAAGCCCTGAGAAAGAACAGTCACAAAACAAACCAGCTCAGAGAACAAGCCTGGATCTCACCCAGTGGCCACAGGCTGAGCAGCAGGGAACACAACCCAAAAGAGGGCCCCTCCTTGTGGCACAGAAAAAGAATGCTCCTTACAAAAGGGTGGTCCTTCCTCCAAGCTTTCCTTTCCTGCGCAAGTCGGCTGAGGGCAATCCCCGACATATTCAAAGTCCCTGGAACAAATAGCACAGAGGGAGGGTTAGTAAAGCACACATGTCTCCCCATCCCCACCCCAGCCAGAGAGGGCTCTTTCCAAGAAGCAGGTAAATGAGGCTGGAGTCCAGCTGGGCAAGCTGCCCTTGGAGCAAGTGCTGGCATTACATCCCTCAATAGACCTCTCAGATCACCTCCAGGCAGGCAGGTGGGGCACCATTGCTGTCCCTCTTGTGGTTTACAAACCCGACTGCTGGGAGGTGCAGTGAGGAGAGCCTGCACAAAGGCTGCCAACTCCCTGGCAAGCACTGACCATCTTCTGGAAAGACTTGGCACCCTCACAATAGGCAGGGCCTAGCAGGCACTGCAAATGCTCACCTGCAGCTAGGATGTGGCTCAGTGTGGCACCGCAAAACCCTTGGGAGTGGGAGGAGGGCTAAGGGACAAGGCACTGCCCTGAGACCCCAGCTTAAAATCAGGCTTAACAGGAAGACAATCACTATTATGGATGTCCTAGTGAGAAAAATCAACACCACAGGGCAGATCAGGGTAAACTTCCATAGGCAGACTACCCCAAGTGGCCAGACTAGACTAATCTCTCTGCTTCCTGCTATACTATAGTGGCCCACAGGCTTGTCAGCTCACAGTCCAGAGATCTGCCCTATGACCCTGAGGGATGGAGGAGGACAAGCCCCAGGCCAGGTAAGCAGCATCTGCCAGGGCCCATCTTGGTTGAAGAAGCACCTTAATCTAGGCTCACAGCCTGCATTCATTCTGGTTATGACTTCAACCTGGCCACACCTACTTAGGTGCTGTTTTTTTTTTTTTTTTTTTTTTAATCACATGAAGCAGCACTCAGAGACTCCCAAACCTGCAGAGCACTGGGGCCTAGGGATGAGTTGATCACAAGGAGCGACTCCCTTGAGCAAGAATCTAGGAGGGCAATGGGTATCTTTCTGAGGTGTTCACACTGAGCTGCTTTTCAGAGGACAAAGGTTCCACATCTAACCAACTTAAGGTTTCCATTACTCTTATGTGGGCAAAAATCTCCCAGAAGCACTAGCACTAGCCCAGTCTGTTTTCAGCTCAAAATCTTCACTCTGAAACAGAACCTTCACTTACCTCCAGACCAGAGCAAGACTCTTATAGAATAGACTCCTGCCACTGCTCTGACAGGCCTCAACCAGACCTCCTTAGAGCTCCTGCTACTTATACTTAGCTCAGGCTGCCCATTTTACCTGCAAAGCCATGACTGATCAGAAATCATGGTGCATTCTTGACCCAGCCAGGTCCTCTAGAGCTCTCACACACAGCTGCCCAGAGTCCATGATCCCTGTGCTACAGGTGGGCTGATTCTGATTAGACATGTATCTCCATATGCAAGCATAATTATTCTCTGGCATCACCTGAACAGACATAACCACTAGGTCAAAGCAATCTGATGGAGCCCCACATTGAGGTCCTAGGCGGCTTGTTTTTGAGACAAGAGTCTCACACCATGGGCCAAGTTAGCCTGAAACCCACATCAATCCTCCCGGCTAGCTCCTGGTACTGGGATTACGGGCATGACCCACCACATCTAGTTCCTTGACCAGCAGCTTTTTCCTTTTTTTTTCTTTCCTTTATTTTTGGAGACAGAGGCTCCTATGTGGCCGCAGCTGGCCAGAAACATGCTAGGTAGACCAGGCTGGCCTTAACAATCATGCCTGCAAGTCTGGCATTAAAGGCACTGCTGCCAAACCTGGCCCTAGACTGCTTTTGATGACTTTACTAAGTAGACAAGTAGAAAGGGCTGGACTGCCATCAAAGGTGGCAGCATCACTTAGGAGGCCAGGCTTCAGGAACTTGGGTGAGGTCACTATAAAATAAACACCCAGTATTGGCATTTTTAATATCCTGTACACTTAAGATAAAGAAACTCTTTCAGAAGCACAAGCTGGGACTGAAGAGATGGCTCAGCAGTTAAGAGCACTAGCTGCTCTTCCAGAGAACCTGGGTTCAATTCCCATCACCTACATGGCAGCTTACAATTGTCTGTAACTCCAGTCCCAGGAGACCCGACACCCTCACACAAACATACAGATATGACACCAATGCACAGAAAATTAAAATTTAAAAACGTTAAAAAAAAAAAAAAAAAAAAAGGCACAAGCTACCAGAGCAAGCCCTGACGACCAGCCTCTAAGCACCAAAGGCTCCAGTCTTCAGCACAAAGTGTACAAATTAAAGAATTCTCTCATCTGACCTCAAGTCCAAAACATATCAAGCCCAAACCCAACTGTCTTTCCCCACCACAGAGTATAGACTGTCCAAAACAAGCACATCACTAAGGTGCTGCACCAAACACCCAAGACCTGCCTGAACAGTACCTCTCGGAAAACGGAGGATCCAGCTGGCGCTCTTCTAGGAGGCGGAAAAAAGCTTTCTGGGCTTACTAGTGAGATGATGACCGTGCTACTTAAACCTGGCTGACACTGGCATGGGAAACACGGCAGGGAAGGTCTGTCTCTAAGGTGTTTGGTTAGAAGGGCATGGAGGCAGATCTGAGGATGTCAATGGCTGCTGCAGGGCACTGAAGCCCAGGGCTTCACTTCCAAAGTATCCCACTTTTCAACTAGTGCTTCTCAATGGACAGGCCTAATTGCTCCCTCAGGCTTAAGGGAAAGCACTCTTGCTCCTCAAACTGAGGGTAGGTTGTAAAGGAGCTGCTATTCCCACCCAGCCAATCAGATGTTGGAAGATCCCAAAGAAGTCTGAGTAGGATTTCCAAGCAGGTCTCTGGACCCCTGGTCAGTGGGGAAAGGGTGTCTGAAATATTGTGCTGGACAAAGCTGTTGGGCCTGCCATAACTGACCTCAGGAGAAAGCTGCCTACCTAAAGACCTCTGTCCAAGCATCCGACTGTGGTTATCCCAAGGGTAAAAACAACCGAGGAGCTGCAAGTTGTGGGTTGTGTCTATACACTCAGTATCAAGGAGGCTGACCCAGGGGGCCCAAGAGTTCAAGGTTAGCCATAGCAAAAAGAGCTCAAAAACAGGGACAGGGGAAGTGAAGGAGGCTCCTTACAGGACCTCCTCAAGGCCTTCTGCCCCATGGTCAAGAAAAGGAACCCTACACACTGACAACGATCTACACGGAAACCTAGTCCTTGAGACAGGGCTGCTGCTCCCACCAGCTCTCCAAAAGCTACAACTTGCCTTCCCAAGTTAACAGCCACCTCACCAGCAGGAAAGTTTTGTGATGCAAAGACAAAACAAAACAAACCACAACAAAACACCGCCCCTCCCCCCACCAGAGAAAAGCAGGGCTAGATATTCTTACCAATCCAGGGTTCCTGCCGTGTGCTGTATTGTCTGGCGACACCACGTATTTCAGAGCTACTTACCGGTCAGAGACTGTGCAAGATTGCCTATTTCGGCCCACCTCTACTTACTCATGAATACCAGGTACTAATACTAAGGCTGGCTAGGAAAAGGCTAAGCGGCCTCTTCCACCGGAATGCACACTGTAGGCCCTAAGGACCCTTCACTAAAGACACTAGTCTAAGTTTCCAGTGGCAGAGACAGCAAGAGGAGGGCAGGTATGCAATCACTCACAGCCTAAATACCCTTGGAATCAGAACAAATTCCCCTGCGATACCTGTTTTCTGTCATGCAGGCAGGTAACTCACCTATTAAAACAACAGTTCCTTAAGAATAAAAGACAGTGAGGCAGAGAATCTGCACAAGACACCTACAAAGCCCCAAAGGACAAGCCCAGCGTGTCGACAAACGAAGTAAACCCAGCCTTCTGCTGTGACTCCGGGTGCTTACAGGCCGCGGCACGGCCCAGTGCCCACGGCCTTCCTGCACTCCCGCTCACCCAACTATGAGGCCCAGCACCGCCCAGAACCTGTCCGGGTGCTACAGAGGAGCGCAGATCGTCTGTTACGGGGTCGGCGGAACTTAGCACAACAGAGGTGGGGGGCAGTGAGCCGTGTTCCCAACCCTGCACTCGTCCGGGGCACAGCGGCTGGGCCCCAGGGCCCCGAGGGCCGCGGCTCGGAGGCGGGAGGAGGCCGCGAGGGAGCGGAGACCGCGGCGGCTCAGCTCCGCGCCTCCCGGAAGCCTACTGGGAACGGCGGCAACGCGGAGCGAGGATCCAAGTGCTCGCGCGGGCCGGTGGCGGCTCACCTGGGCGACCGCGGCCCGGACCGTCGCGGCGGCAGAGGCGGCGGCGCTCCTTTGTCTCGGGACTTCCCTCCGCGCCCGCCGCGCGCAGCCCGGAGCGCAGGACCCCAGCGGGCGGGGCGGGGCGGGGCCTGCGCTGGGCTGCCCGCCGCCCGCCTGCTCCGCGGACCGTCGCTCCCGTTCCCGTGCCCTACGCCGTCTACGCAACCACAAGCTGCCCACTGCCCGCCTTCGGCGGCCGCGCTCCCGTTGCCCGCGACCGCCTAGAGAGCCCGGGCCAAGGGCGACTGTCCAAGCAGGCAGCGACCTAAACGGCTGCACTCTTAAAGGAGCCGCGTCCCAGCTTCCAGGGAGCGTCTGCAAACTCCTCTTCGGGAGAAGTGCGTCCACTCGAGGACAAACCAGAGAGGCTTGTGAAGAAAACGAAGCCGAGATTCCCAAGGGTAATCCGGATGCTCAGAGGGCACATTCCCGGGGAAAGGACCAGCAGGTATCCTTGGGCTCAGGGCCCGGGTTCCGGGAGCAAAGATCACCGAGGCCTAAGCATCCTACGAATCGTCGCAGGACGCTGACGATCCCCGGAATAAAGCGCACTGTGAAACTTTCTGCAATTGGCCAACTCGGAGACTTGGGCGGGGTGTACCTCGAACCTACCCAATGAACTGGCCTCATACAAAGGGCCAAACGCATGCAAAACCGACGGGAACAGAAATGTGGATGCTCCCTAACTTACGAGTTGGCCCTAGGTGGGGGAGGGGAACGGGCCTGAACCGTGGGGGAGGGGCAGCATCCGAAACCTTCCCCACCCCCCGTCCCCATCTCTGCCCCGCACCCGACACCTCAGTTCCACCTGATACCCCTGCGCGGGTCCTGCTGGTCCTGCTGGACTCGTTCTTGTCGCGCTGTGGCCTGGTCCAGTTTCCTCAGCCAGCCCTCAGCAACCCAGCTCCGTGCCCGGAAGCCTCCTCACCGACGGGACGGGTACTTAGAACCATCAGCTGGCCCCCTGGTGGCCATCCTGGAGCCTGCTCCGCTTTTTGGCACGTGCTTCAGGCCTTCCGGGGCCAGTTCCAGCGACAAGGGCTTCCTGGGATCATTGGTCCGGGGCTGCTGGGGACTCCAGGAGCGACCAGTCCTCATTTGTTCATCTGTCGGTGGCTTTATCCATCTACCCACTACTCTCTCCCGCCTTCGTCCTCTCCCGTTCTTGCCTCCTGAGGCTGTTGGGTGCCCCAGAACGTGGACCACGGTTTCATGTCCCCTGTCCGTAACTTCCCAGCGTTCCCTGGAGCCCACCCTGTGAATTCCTCCTGTTCTTAGCTGTACTGTTTAGGAGGAAGGGTGAGGTCATGATGAGCGCCAGATCCTCAAGGGCCTTACTCACTCTCACTGGGGCTGAGTTGTAGACACAGTCTGTATAGACATAAACCCCCCCACCCCCCCCCACCCCGCCACCCAGCTGTAGTGGTTAGTGGCCCCCGCAGGTCTGTTGCCCCAACAGAAGGCATCTGTTTTGGATCTGTCTCAGCTTTCGCAGCAGCTTACAAAAGTGGTGGCCCCTGGCCCCACACGTTGACCGGAAAACAGCCTGGCCTGTGGATTGTACCATCAGGGACCAAAGTCATCACCAGTTTGTCTGGGAGCTCTCATCTGTAGCCAGTGGCTCTGTGTGGCCCAGTAATCTTTTTATTTATTTTTTTAGCTTAGGGTTTCTTGCGTTAGTCCTGCCTGGCCTCCAAACTCAAAGATAACCTTGAATTCCTGATCCGTGTGATTCCAACCCCCATCGTTGTACAAACAATACCATATCTTTGGTCCGTGATCCCCAAGAGCTGCCAAAGCAGCGCTCCTGGGAGCTACCGCCACAGGAGCGGCCAAAATGGCGGCACATGTCAACACAGTGATACATCCTCAGCCTATTGCTGTTTTGAGGTATCACCTCAGGAGCAGTCCATAAGTGGCAGCACCTCCTCTCCAGCCTCCCCAAGCACCTCCACAGGGATGGTGCCTCAGCCAAAGCCACCTGCGGCTCGGAAGGACTTCTCATTTTAACCCATGGGCCTATACAGGGAAATGGGGGCGAGAAAAGCCACTAACTTCTGAGCTTCCCACAAACCCCCACCAATCCCTGAGCTCTCCAAGCTCAGGACTTGAAATCCTACCAATCCTCACTCTGGAAACCTCTGCCCTGAAAAGCTCCACACCTCTAAGAAATCTTACAGAAGTGTTGAAGGGGGTTTTCTGTAACCCATGTTTTTACCCATGCCTTTGTTCCCAGAAATAATAACTCTTAGACCTTAAACTTTGGCTGGTTCCCCAACTAGCTCACAACATATTTTGCTCATTTATTCTATTCTGTGGGTGCGGTGTGCCTGGTTGCCTTTACTCAGATTCATACTTCCATCTTTTTCAGAGTCTGGAGTGAATCTCCTGCCTCTGACTCTATCCCAGAGTTCATCTCTTCCAGCTGGAACGCCCTCTTCCACTTCCTGCCTCATCTAACAGGCCATTAGCTTTTTATTGACAGATGATGCTTCCATACTGGCACAAGAGATTCCTTCTACATTTCCTCCTTGTAGTCCAAATAAAAGGCTCTTTCTCTTACATCAATAAACTGTTTACAGTCAGAACAATTATAAAATAATCAGGTAGGATTTACATTCACAATGTAAATTGTGAATACATATTTAAATACATAAATACATATGTCCAGTCCATATGTATTTGACATCTTAGGAGAAAGTATTATCTATCCTATCTTGGTGAGTTCAGAGTTCTGTTCCTAAATCAATTCTTAATCCTAACTTGAATTATCAATCTAAAAACGACTTCTTAGACCTAAAGATATCTTCTTAAATCTTGAACATCTTCAGCTTTCTTGTGAGAATAAAACTGTTTTCAACCCCATCAGAGGCTTGAGAAGGAATTAATACTACCTGAGCATGTAGGAAGTGCAGAGCAAGCAGCTTCCAAGATTATAGAAATGACAGAGGCAGCTGACTAGCTGGACAGTCACCCAAGTTTTTCAGCAACTGTTGGAACATCATCTTTTGCCTTCTGGACAGATTTTTCTTTCTTTTCTTTTTTTTTTTTTTTTTGTGAGGTAGGAATTATGAAGGACTACCTTGTCCTTGCAAATGTTGGCAGTTGACTTTCCTGCTTCTTGTTAGTTTGGATACCAGGCTGTCTACAGTTAGGCAAGGGCATTTTCTTGCCCAGTGGCTAGCCACATTTGAAGCAAACTCCATACGGAGGGTTTTCCATGCCCAACATCATCTTTGAAGTAGGATGAGAGTGCTTCTAGGAGCTGACATGTCACTGTCAGAAGATCCTTTTATTAATAGAAACATCTGTAAATGCCATATTCTGTGGATCTCTGAGGTTTTTGAAGACCATCTATTTCTAGTATATCTGAATAAGTAAACATTGCTCATTTCTAACTACTTAACATCTGTTCAACCTAGGAAACACATTTCTGTAATTATCTAGACTAGTATCTAACATGGCCAGGAATCTGACTGCTAACTGGTGTTACTTGATTATCTTAAACAGTTCGTAATAATAGCTTTCAAGAACTAGAACTTTACATTGCATCTTTAAATGAGTTGAAATGCAATATATAGCATGTTGTAACAAAATGACCTTAATTTTGTGTCAATATACAAAGATCTATACCAATGTAAAAATATTTGATACCAGCAGTTGCTCTTTGGTTTAAGAATAGATTTAATGGGGCTGGAGAGATGGGTTAGTGGTCAGGAGCACTGCCTGCTCTTCCAGAGGTACTGAGTTCAGTTACCAGCAGCCACATGGTGGCTCACAACCATCTTTACTAAAATCTAAGGCCCTATTCTGGCATGCAGGTGTTCATGCAAATAGACCACTCATACATAAAATAATAAAATCTTTAAAAATTATATATAAATAAATTCAATAATCTACACTTTTATCCTTTTATTCCTATATCCCTCCTTTTTTTCTTTTCCTCCATCATCTCCCCCTTTCCCTTTAACATTAGATAAGAGAGAATGAAAGATAGAGGTAAAAAGCAAAAGAGAGAAATCCTGAGCCTAAGTTCCTATACCCCTATACCTTGTTTTTTTCCCCTGACCAAGACCATTTAATAACTTACAACCAACTAAATGACCAAAAACTACCCACCCCATGTTTTGGGAAATGGGGCATTGCTTTATTAAAATTGCTTCTTGCTTTTGTGGGCATTGTTTTCCTTTGGAGGGGGGGAGGAAGTCTCCATGTACTGTGAAAATGCAGGGCTTAAATGAAGTCATGACTGGAACAGTCTTTGAGGCTGTTGGTAGTTGGTAGCTTTGAAGCTGTCCTGGCAGCAAGTTTTGATGAAACAGCTATTAAGGCAGTCTGAGGTTGAATCAAGCAGTTGTTAGGATAAATGTGTCTCAGCATCCTAGAAGGGGAATCCTGTCAGGGCTGCTTTAACTTCATTGGTGTCTGGTTCTTTTGTTCTGTAACCACCATATAAACTTCCATGGGTAATATACATTTTTGCATAAACACATGTGTGGAATGTGTGGCGTGCACAATTTAGCTGAAAGTGCTTCTCTGCTCTTAGTCTGAGCAGGTAAAAGGCATCTGTCTTTCCTTATGAGCCAGGCTGGACTGAATAACCGAACTGTAATACATCTTTTCATTCTATGCCATATGAAAAGATGACATGATAAGTCGGGAGGGCTCTGCAGCCAACAAGATTTATTGACTGAGCATAATTAAAGTCCTGGCTGGAGACAGTTTGATGTCTCATCCAGCCTCAGAGCTGTTCCCATTCAGAGGGACCAGCAGAACAAGTTACTTGCTTTGTAAGTCTTCCTGATTTCTCTCTTCCTGTCTGCATCCAAGACAAGCAGCTGTGCTACTTGTCTCTGTACTGGATGCTTGGACTTTCCATTCGGAGACAGCCATGTTTGGACAAGCCAGAATACAGCCTCCAAGTCACACTAGTAAATCCTGGCATTTAATCTGGTCCTAAACAGAACATGCTTGCCTGTACTCCAAATAGGGGGGGTTGGACAGCCTTAAAGTGTCTTGCTCCTTTCCTGCTACATCAGGTGAGGTGACCAGATTCATGAGTCTCAGGCTTGCTAGGTCCTAGCTGATAGATGAACAAGGAACAGGTACAGCATCCAGAACAATCTCTGGACAATGACCCAGACTTTGTTTTTCTGTGCCCCCATCACACCCCCAGGTTGGCTACCAAATCACCAAATTGACACAGGCTAGAGTCATTTGGAAAGAAGGATTCTCAATTGAGAAAACGCCTTCATTTTCTTGCCTATAGGCTTAAGTCTGTCCCTCATTTTTTTGATAAGTGATTGATGTGGGAATACTCAGTCCATTGTAGAGGGCTCCACCCTTGGACAGGTATTCCTGAGTTTTCTAAGAAGGCAGGCTGAGCAAGCCAGTAAGCAACATTTCAAGAAGATATGTCTCAGGTGTTAGAATGAGGCCCATTCAGAAGAATCAAGAAGACTACACTGGGACTTAAGAAATGGCCCCAAGGGGAAAAAAAGAAAATCAGGGCACCTTGTCAAGGAAGCCACCGGTGTCCAGAATGGCCAGCTGAGCAAAGGTTTATGGGAAGACAAACATGCCTCAATAACACACTTGTACAACATGGGAAGGTGTCCAGGTTGGCACCTTGTTTCCCTAGAAGGCATGCAGCTTTGGCTCTCTGCTGCCCCCTGTTGAGTACAATGATAGTGGTGATGCCTTGAGACAATGACCAGGGTGTGAATCGAGCGAGCGAATAGGCTCGGCTTAGCTAGGCTCATTGCCAACCCAGTCTCTTCAAGGACACTGAGAGTAGAATCCGGAGCTATGCTTCCAAAGCGGGTTGTGTCCCTGGTCAGACTCAAGTCACAGGCACCAGGCATCTGCCCCAGATGTTAGGTTCTCCAATGCTTCAGGATCTGGGTGTGCTCTCACCTTGGCTTGTCAAGCTTCCTGTTGTCCCAAGGCAGCTTCCTGAGGACCTCCAGTCTT